GGGGCGGGGTCTGGACAGCACCTGCCTCCGCCTGTGGTGGTCGCCTGCCTCCCGGGCCTGCGCCCCGCCCGGCTCCGCTCAGCTCCTGGCATCTTGCTTTTCTAAGAGCCGCCCCCGGGCAGCCCTCTCTTCTTGCCCGTCCAGGTCATCTGGACCTTCCTGTCCCCCTCACCACCCACCCAGCTCCTGGGGGTGCACGTGGGGGTCGGGCTCACCTAGAGAGGAGTTGGTGAAGGAGCGGACGCAGCTGGCATTTTTATTCTCGGGACACTCGGAGACGACGGGCTGCACACACGTGTCCGCCCACGAATTGCACTGCTCACAGCGCAGGGGTTCTGCGGGGACAGGCACATCAGCCGGCGGACGCCCCAGGCCGGCCCCGAGGCACCAACGCGGTGTCGCCTGCGCAGCTCCGGGAGCCCAGGGCCTGCCGAGCCCCCGCTCCTCCGCTGGTCTCGCCCGCGCGGAGCAGATGGGGTGGGCGCCCCGCAGCTCTGACCACTCGGCTCGGTGCACCTGGGCAGGGAGGCCTCCCGCGAAGCCCGTGGGGACTCAAAACCGAGGAAAGCAGGGTGAGGTGGAAAGAGAGCTCCCCCCAGAGGGGCCATGCCTCTCACCTGCAGCGGCGACGCCGACGGCGAGTGCGGCGATGGCAGTGACCGCCGTGCAGAGGACGCCCTTCATGGCGCTGGGTTCGCCTCCGAGGACCAGGACCAGGCCGCGAACCTACAGCCTGAAGAGACCCAGGAGGGCAGCCGCTGGGGCTGGGATGGCTGCTGTCACCCCCCGGAGTCAGGCCACTCCGTCATGGTCCACTGACCCAAGAATCAGGGCCCTCGGCCGGCAGAGCCCAGGCACCCACGCCCTGCCTGCCCCGCGCCCCCTTCATTTCGGGCCTGCGAAGCCTGCACGCTGGGGCAGGAGCGCGTCCTCCGAGCCAGCGCAGCGCAAGGCGGCCGCTGCCCTCGCCAGCCCGGCCCCGGGCGGGTCTAAGCACAGGATGGCTCTAACGCCCTCGCCCTCGTGCGCCCAGAGCATGGTGCCTCCTGCAGTCAGCCAGGGCCGCCCTGGGGAGTCTGTCCCTGCTCCACCCCAGAGGGAGGCCCTGCTGTGGCTGACTCCAGCACGCCCTGTGCCCGAAAGCCCTGCAGTCCCACCCACCTAGCATCCCAGGGGAGTGAAGCTCCAGAAGGCCTGGAGAGACACCCCCACATGCCAGGGCTGGGCTTCCCCGGGCTCCAGCCTCCTCCACAGCGGGCGACACTCTGAGCGCTGGGCCTGGGCTCTCAGCCTGCAGACCATCCCGGGCCTCCAGGGCACTCCCGCCTGGCTGTCACCCTCTGTGCACTTGAGCTCCTGCCTGCAAATGGCCGGGGTTAGACCCTAAGGGTGGCTCATTTCCGCGGTGTTCAGGAGGGTGGTCAGGGCCCAGCTCCTCCGCCCTGGAGCACAGCCGGCTGGCTCGGGCTGTGTAAGTGAATTGTCCCGGCCCCCAGGACACCAGGGCAGCGCCATCGT